TAAATTATAAAAAATATTATAAATAATATATAGAAGATTTACATAATTTAAATACAAGAATATTTAATACTTACGACAATAAGTTTTTTTTGAACTGTTATGTAAAACTGTAAAACATTTATTTACTGGTTCATTGGATTCACCCTAATTATAATAAATAATTATATAGTATATATTAGTATATAATAATTCGATATATAAATAATTAAAATAGCAATATATATTTTACTCTAAATGATCCATCTAAAAGTTCTTGAAGTAAATCAAGATCAACATTTTCTTTGATAATAATAAAGCGATGGAATTTTTCTTGATCTTGCCAATTAGAACAGCTAATAAAATAAGATGAAGACATATTATCATAATGACGTAGATACTTTAATACAGGTATTTCAGTACATTGCACACCATTTTTTTAAATTGACATTTGGTTTTGTGTACAGCCAAATATACTCTAATAAATATAAATTATTAATTTATAATTTATCATATATTCAATTTGTTATTAAAATATACTAATTTAGAAATAATTTCTAAAAAAAATACAATGTATGCATATTTTAGAAGTTATTTCTATATTAGATATTTTGCCGCTTGAAATATATGAAATTTGTAATTAAAAATTTATAAGGCTTATACGAAAGTATTATTTTTTATATTATTAGATGATAGTTCATTATTTATCTTCAACTGTAAATCAGAATTAGAATCTATTGATTCATATTGCATTTCTTGAAGTTCTGAACTTGTGAATTCACATAATTTAACTCCTTGACATGTTCTATCTTTTTTTGTTACAACAATATCACCAAGATAACAACAAGTAGCTTTATTTTGACTAGACGGCTTGCCCATAAAATACTGAATCTAAAAAATAATATATTAAAAATGTTAACTATATACTTGATATTATATTTACAATAATGATAAATAATTACATTTGTAAATGCAGAATCTGCATGTTCCCATCTGTCAATATGATAAACAATTGTAATCCCTTCTTTAGATGTTAGTAGATATTCAATTGGAGTTAATGAATGAATAATTTCTTTAGCAGTCAAATTTTTGGTCAAAAATATTTCTGAACTTTCTATATCAGGTGAAGATCTAGAAGTTTCCTGAGAAGAATTCACAGAAGACTGATCTTCTAATATCAATATATTATCATTATTATCTTCTAGAAAAAAATTTTCTCTAAAATCGTTATTAAAACTTTCGCTAAAAGAATTATTTTCTTTGAAAAAATTTTCGTCATCAGAAAAACTATTAATTGATAATCTAGACTCCTCATTAGAACTAATATCGTTAAAAGGTATCATTATTTTATTGTTAATATTATTCGAATTTGATATTATTTTATTAATAAAATAAAATTTGTAAAGATGATTTTTAAAAAAGAGATAAATACAGTAATTGCTACGATCAGTTTTTACCATTTAATAATTGTGAGATTGGTCCCAATGTGAGAGGAATTAGTATTTTTTATGATAACTAATCATTAGCAGACTTAAAATACTAATTGACCTCACATTGGACTGGCCTCATCTTGGTCTTTCACAATAATTAATTACTTTAGACTTCATCAGGTGACATTAGAATATGAGCAATTATGTT